AAATACTAAATGCAAAATATGTATTTTCAAATAAATACCTTTTTTATAGTGGCTATTTAATTTTCTACATTTACTTAAGTTTAATATATTTTTTAAGATAACCTTGCAGGCATTTGCTCATTTTTTAAATATTGGACTTTTTCTAGACTAATAGTGGTGTTTGCACTATATCACCAGCTGCTAAAATTAAGTACGATTCATATTTTTCTATTTGAAGTGATTGAGATATAGTTTTTCTATCTTTATGTTATAGTTTCTTCAATTCATTAATAAATAATTTTTCTGTATGCTTCTTTATTTACCTATGTCACCCGTTTTAATTGGAAAAAAGACACTAATGCCAAAATAGTTCGTTTAGCGTGAAAAATTAAAGCCTAAAATAGCGTTGCAAATAATTGCATTCATGTAAAATCAACATCAATCATTTTATATCAAAATATTTACAACCCCTTTTTGTGTCTGGTCTTTTACACAGTGTAATAAGAGAAAGAAATGGAATCGATAGTTTCTTTAGCTTTGGGTTCATCTAATGAAGTGAAGTTTTTCGAATCGTTTTCTAAGAATTTTGGATTATACCTACATATTTATTAGCACACTACAATATCTTCTAATTTTCAGTTTTACACTGTTGGCGGATATCAATTCCATATTGTTTTGCGCGCTGTTTTATCGTAATTTATAGAATTTCGTAGTTCTTTGGTAAAGGTGCAATAAGGAGTGATTTGGCAGGTGCTAATATCAATTTGGAACTTCAAAAATTCCATGAACTATGATATTGAACCCGGAAAACAATATCGATCCAATATTTTAGATTATTAATTTCAAGAAGTTTAGAAGTTTTTGGACTCTCTTCAGTTAAAGAATTGGAGGACATTCATGGAATGTGTCTTTGTCCCCTTTTACGCTTCTAATACCTTCAACGGTCCATGTGAACAATTTTCATGAAATTTTACTGAATCAGTGATGCTAACAAAACTTTTAACGGCAAAAAAGTATTTTGCATTTTACAAATAGAAAATGCGTTTGGAAAAGTATTTTAAATGAAATACAAAATACTTTTCTCAAAAAAATATTTAAACGCAAGATATATGTATTTGCATTTTAAATGCAAGTATTTCAAATAAATCACATCTCTGACAGAAACATGTAGATTAATATATGGTTATCCTAAGGGCATAGCAACAGTGGTACCTATCTACGTATAGGTAACAACTATTGAAATATTCTACCCGGACATAAAATATTCCAGAGATTAATAGTTACCTAATTAACTTGCTTTGCGAAGTGAATGTTTAGCATTCTCAACAGTTTGTTGAGGCTCAAATTGAAACTTGCTTCTTACCTAGTTTATAACTCCAAAATACCACCGTTGATGTATGGAATTTTCGAGTAATTTAAACTTTTCGAATATTGAAATATTTTCGAAATCTTTCATTAATTCCTTCTGAATAAAGAGGCTGCCTATAAACTATACGGCTGTGTAAGGTATAATGGGGTTTGTGAACTGTAAACGAGAGGGTAAATACTTGAGCAACGTGGTTTCTAACTGTTGTGTGAATTGATAGGCCAGAAGCAATTATCGAGTGGATAAAAAAAGAGCATGTAAAATTGGACCAATGTCCACAATAGTCGGACTGAAAATTAAAAGGTTAAAAAAAGACAACCTTATACCTTATACAAGCTTATCATTATGTACATGTTGTAATTTTCAACTTGAACTTTAAATTTTAAATCTTTATTGTATGTATTTAATGTGCACATTTGTCCTTGTGTGTAATAGCATTAAAATTAGGTTTCATGTCCAACAATTGAATCCGAAAATCCGGAGTAGCATTCAGTCCAGAATAAATTTTCGAGTAGATCAAAAAGAGCATGTAAAATTGAAGCAATGTCCACAATAATCGGATTAAAGATTAAAAGGTTAAAAAGAGACCATCTAGAGGGGATTCAAGAATAGAACCATGATAGTCCATCTAGTGAAAGGGGGAAGAAAGTGATTTTTGCTGGGGAATCCGTTTTGACTCACCCTTTTCTAGCGGAACCCAACCTCGACCAAAAACTAAGCTGAAGATTAATAGGTTTATGTGTAGGACTTCTGAAAACTTGTCATTGTGTATACGTTGTAATCTTCAGCTTGAATTTTGAATTCAAATTCTTTACTGTACGTATTTAATGTGAACATTTGTCCTGATGTATAATAGCATTAAAATTAGGTTTCATGTTCAACAATTGAATTCGAAAATCCGGAGCGGCATTCAGTCTAGTTCTGAATTCTTTTTGTTGTAGGGGTAGACCGATGAAAAATTCATCTGTAATTTGTAAGTCGATATAAACCGAAACTGCAACGGTTATAACCTTCTCAACGACTGCAGGGCATTTATCTTTAAGTTCGATCCAAAGGTCATTCAAATTTGAATCAACTGATACCTAATATCGGTTATGTTCTCATATTCCGATACAGTTAACATTGAAGGTTTAA